GGTCCTGAGTCCTCTAGGGGTGACAGCCGGAGCCCTGAACGCCAGCCGCGTTGGGGGCGCCCGCGCCGGAGGATGCGCCCCAGGCGGCCAGCGCGCGAGGACCGGGCTGTTCGGGTCCCCTGTCCCTCCCCGGTCCCCAGCCTAGGACCCACCTGGGGGGCATGTCGGAAGCCCCGGGCCCGGCTGCCGGCGGATCCAGGGGGGGACGTGGCTGCGCTGCGCTGCCCTCCGCCCGCCGGGCCCCCGGTCGGTCTGTCCTGCTGGTCCGTCCTCCCCGCGTCCTGGTCGCGTCTCAGCCCCGCCGCGCTTTCCGCACACTCTTATCTGGAGCGGCCCGGGCCGGCGGGCGCTGCTGCAGCTATGGCGCCACCTCGCGGCCGTGCGGGACTTTGCGCGGCACAGCCACGGCCTCCTTCCTGCGCACCTGGGATGGAGGCTCGCAGATGCCGAACTGGACTCAGGAGGGGGGCCTGTTCTCAGATTCAGCCTCCCAGATGTGCCCACCTGGAGGCCCCAGCACCGGACCTTCGAGCCCCACAAAAACCGGGGTTTTGAGCTGAATGTTCCTGTGTACATATTTCTAAATTCTGACATTGCCCCAATTCAGAAGTCCGGCCTTCAAGGGAGGAGGCTTTCGAAATCCTAAGGAAGAAGATAGACAAGCTCTTAAGGGGCTGTCATTAGATATCCCTGGATGGTACTGTCCATTTGTCCACCGCCCCTCCCCCCCCCCAGTACACCCAACCTCACTCAGCCACGTGGGATAGGTATGCACAGAATAGACCCGTTTGCACCCAGACCCCCTCCAGGCATTTACACCCGTGAGCGCTCATGTTGGCAGACACACATCTGTCCCCTTCCGGAGTCCAAGACCCGGCTTTCTGTCATACTCAGGGTACTGCCATATAGAGCCCTCCATGACCTGGGCAGAGGTGGTACCAAAACCCCACCCTGAACTTGCAGGCCTCTACAGGGCCCCCAGGAAAGGTGACTGGAAATGGCTGGACAGCGCCTCTTGGGGGTCCCACAGAAGCGACCCAAGCCCCCAGATTTCCCGTGTGAGCCGTGTTGAGGGACGACCAGCTTGAACGACCTCGTCGAGAGAAAAGTCACAGGAGGGCCTGGAACCCGGGATCCCCCGCAAGGTCCTGCACCCCATGTGAAGGTCCAATTCTTGCAGGTGACGCCCCCTCTAGGAGGGAGGGGACGCGGCGCTGGAGCGCGGGCGCTTGCACAGCTAACTCCGGAAGTGTCCCCGCGCCGCCCCAGCACATCAGGCCGGCAGCCAGCGCCTGTGAGGCTGAGTGGGCCTCCGCAGCCCACGCTCCGCCTCTTCCCCGCACCTCCTGACCCCCGCCCACACGTGGAGGGTAGGAGTGGGTCCCCAAGAACGCCTGCAGCTTCTGATTGGCTGCGCCTCGCTCAGCCGCCAAGCGCGAGAGGCTGGGGCGCAGAGTTACCATAGTAACCGATGAGGTTCGCCCAGATCGCGTCTCTCCGAGGCCTTGGAGAGCTTAGCAACCGCGCAGGGCCGCTGGGCCGTGGGGGCCGCGTTCACCAGCCTCCCTCCGCCCCGCGCCATCCTCCGCCCCCACGCCCCCGCCAGAGGTAGTGGCTGAGTCATTCATTGAGGGGCGGCCGGCGCGGCCACCCGCGGTCCCAATCAGACACCAAGGTCTCGGGCGCCCCCCAGAGGCTCCCTCTGCTCAGCTAGGAGGCGGCTCCTGGTCTCCACAAGTTCTTCTGACTTCCATTGCGTCCAGAGTTTTTACCCTGTTTCCCCTCTGTGTTCTGGGTACATCTGATCACAGTCCTCTTTTCCGTCTCCCTAACCTAGCCTTAGGGTGCTCACTAGGGAAATAGTGAGGTTCCCAGAATGAAAATTGTGGGCTCCGGAGCTGAGAGCCTCTGGGGGAGGTGGACATCTATCGACATCTTGGCGGAGAGATGTGCTGCCACACTGAGGTGGGAAAGTGTATAGAATGCGGGGCAGGGAGGCAGGAAGGCTCCTGTGAAGTGCTCTTAGATCTGGGCTTTGATGGATGAATAGGAGTTCTCCCCCAGACAGGAAGACATTCCTGGGGAAGAGAACTAGTGGAGGCCAAAAACTGACAACTCTAGGTAAAGGGTATCCAGGACCTCTTTGACCCCATTTCTGCTGTAATCTTTCCTCCCCTTGATGAGGCCAGATCCTAGCCCCACAAGGATCCAATCATCCCGGTCTCTGTGCAGTGGCGTCTGTCCACTGTAGACCCACCCCAGGGTCCCCTGTGCCACTGTTTTTTTTTTCAACAATCTTCCCAGATTCCCGTTCCCCCAGTCCCTACCCTCACACTGTCCTTACATCTGTATTGAAGGGTCTGACATACCTGCCCCCAACCTAGCTGCCTTTAATCTTTGACCTCTCCCTCCCTCCCTAGTTCCACCTGTCCTGGCCTGGCATTGCCCTCCCTCCACCCTAACCCAGCTCCTCTCTCTGAACACACTCCCCTCCCTCATTTAGAACTTTCCTCAATTGATTGAGCTAGGCTCCGCCAGGACCATTCATTTCCCTACTCCTGTCCAGGAGAACTTCGCCTAATGTAGCATGGATTTTTCTTACCAATTCTGACCTACAGGAACTCTTACTCCTCCAGGAAGGGGTCTCAGCCAAGCTACTCTCCCCCCAGACTCTTCTCTGCTGAGCTGCCAAAGTCCCTCATTCCACAGATGGGTCCTAAATGAGGTTTGCTGGGAGTCAGGCTCTGAAACTGTGGTCTGGTCTTTCTCCCTTCCACTTACTGAGGCTTCCTCTCCCTTCTCCTGCCACCTTTCCACCACCTCCCCCATAGAGCACCCTCTTGCTCATTTCTGGGGAGTCCAAGCCACCCTCCTCAACTTTTCTCCCTTCCCTCGGGTCTCTAGCTCCTGGATTCCCACTGAGCCTTTTCTTCCATGCCCAGCCTCCTCCTACAACCCCCTGGACCCCCCTCTCCTTCCCTCATGTCCCTGACACCACCGTTTTAGGTGATGTCACAGGCCCCTCCAGGGGTCCAGCTTTTTTTCCTCACCCCCCTCCCCCCCGCCCCCGCCCAAGGGTGATGACACCGCAATAGCCTTGCGGGGTATAACGCCGCCACCGCAGGGCATCCAGTGATGTCACAGAGCCGTCGGGTCCAGGAACTGAGGAGTGGGAGTGGGGGCTACTGGGTGAGGACCCTGGAAGGCCGAGGGGTGGGCTGGGGTTGAGCCCCCAGATGTCTCAGAGTGAATACATTTATAATGGGCCTGGCCACACTCCCTGCACTGTCCTCTCGCTGGCCCCCAGCCCGCAGTTCCGGAAAATTAACCCCTTGTAGACCCGTACGGGGGGCGCGAGCTCCCCTCCCCGTTCCTGCTTCCGTGCGCCCTCCTCCCCTTCCCAGCTCCCCATCGCCTCAGTCCCCACCACCCCACCCCACCCCCCGCCTCGCCACTATAAATAGCCCCTCTTCCCGTTTCCTAAATTCCCTGCTGACGTCGGCAACGCGTCAGTGTGTAGGAGCCGCGGCCGCATGAATGAGCCGCCGCACGAGTACTACGCGCGCCTATAAAAGCCGCCGCGCCAGCCCGGCTGCGGGAGGCGAGCGGGCGCGGGCGCAACACAGCCGACAGGTAAGCGGGACCGACCGACCAATGGGCGACAGATGGACGATGCACGGACATGGACTGGAAGGTAAGGAGGAGACTGACAGGCGGCAGGTTAGAGGGGCCCAAAGGGGTGGGGTTGGGGACAGGGTGGAGGGGACGAGGGTCCCCTCGCAACTGCTAGAGCTGGAGCCAGAGGCGTACGCAGAACCCCGAGCAGCACCTGCCTGCGCCCGGATGGAGACGCAACCACTTCGGAGGAGCATCGATTAGAGGACCGACCTGAGCCCCTGCGGCTTTTCCTGGGGCTCTTGCGCCATCCTCCCAAGAAAGTGGGACGAAGGTGCTGGCGCCCCAGGAGACGCGCCCCTTCCTCTCCTCCTCGCAGAGCGGTGACTCAGCCTCGCTGCCCCCGGTCTGCTGAGCTGGGGCGCCGGCGAGAGACAGACGCCCCCCCTACTCGCCCCCCTACCGCAGCTTTCTGGGGATCCCTCCCCTCATTCAACCGGGGCGCCCCCTCCCCGTCCCGTCGAGCTGGTCCCTCAGCGCCCCCAACTTCCCGCCTCTGCATGAGGAGCTGTCCTCTCAGGACCAGGCGGGGGCGGGGCCTCGGCCTGACTGCCCCGCCCCGCCCCCATCACCCGCCCCTCCCCCTTCCGCAGCCGGAAGTGCCTCTCCGCAGGGACATCTTTGACGTCACAGGGTTTTGACGTCAAGGGCCGCGTGCCTGTCCGCTAGCGCCGGGGCCGAGAAGGGTTGGAGACACGGGGCAGGAAGAGCAGCAGCGCCCCCAGCTGGGGGCGACGGAGCCACCCTGCCCGGGCAGCGCGCCGGCACCTTGGCTCTAGACTGCTTACTGCCCGGGCCGCCCTCAGTAACAGTCTCCAGTCACGGCCACCGACGCCTGGCCCCGCCCCAGGACCGCGGACCCGGCCACCCGCCGCGCCCCCGGCCCCTCGGTCCCCGAAGATCCCTCAGCCCCGCGCTCGCTGCCCGCGCCGCCGCTGTCCGCGGTGCTGATCCAGCGCGGGCACCGCCATTGGACCGTCCCGTCCCCAGTCCCCAGGGGCTACTGAGGGGCTGCCGGCCCACACGCACTTCGCAGAGCCCCAAGAGCCCAGAGCCCCGTCCCTGCAGCGAGCTCCATCCCCCGCCCGCACCGCCGCCGTCCCCCCCCACCCCGCGGTCCTGACGTCAGCCCAACCGGAGCTGCCGTGGTGCCGTCAGCCGCGCGCGCCCCGCCCCCGCGTCTCCAGGGCAACCGTGGCTTTCGATTGTTACTGTGGGAACCGGAGGTAACAGTCTACAGCCATGGTCGCCCCGCAGCACGCCCACGCGCCGCGCCACGCAGCGCACCGCCCGGCGGGATGGGGGAGACTCGGAACAGGAGGAAGCGGAGGCGGCGAGTCGAGAGCCCATGTGTCTGTGGGGGTGGCGGGAGGTGCCGCACAGGGAGGCGGACTACTCCGGAGCCGGGCATCCAAAGAGGCAGAGAAGGAAGCGGAGTATGGTCTGCGGAGTATGTCTGACTGTCCCCCTCAGTGACCATCCTGTCCTCCTAGCCGAGGTACTGCAGCCAAGGGATCGTGAGAGAATGGGGAGTTCTGGGATTTGGGTTCTTTTTACCTCCTTGGAGGGAGGGAGGGAAGCTGCAGGCACCTGGAAAAATGTTCGCATCCTGGGAACCGAAGGGGGTTGATGGAGGAAAGGTTTTCTAAATGCGCCACGACCTCATTCTTCCAGGAACCCCTAGCTGAGTAGGCAGAGGGCAAAGGGTAAACCTTGAACCCACTGGCTGATGGAGTCACAGCCTTCCCTCCCTCCTCTTCCCTCTCTCTTTCCCTCCGAATCTTGAAGGATAAGAAGGGTTCCCGACCCTCAGGAAGCGTAAAGCTTGTAAAGTTAACCCGTCTTTAAACGGTTGTGTGAACATACCTGCATCCTCACCTTACTCTATCTCTAGGTGCTGGATTCCAATTTTAGACTGTCTCAAATTAGCCATAAAGAGGGAAAGTAAATACCAGAGGAGCTGAAGTCCTCTTGGACTACTGAAGTGTAAGCAATGACCTCTTCAAAAACATTCTGCCTGTCACTTGCCGCCACCACCATCACCCACTTCAGGGCTGACTGTTGGATACTGGGTGCAGGACCACCGAGGGACAGTGTTGGGAATGATTAATGCAACCCAGTCCTGCAACCCATTAATACAATTTTTCTTGACCTCTCCATTTCCCCTTTTCTAAACTGTTTCTAACACAGTTGGTGATAGTTTCACAGCTAATCAACACCCACACTATCTTTCTTCCACCCAAGGACACTGAGGGCTTAGATGAAAATGCACCTGATTCTGGCATCCCGTGCACATCGGTGGGCAGACTGTGTGCACCTGGTAAGAGTGCACAGGGAGGCAGGAGGTCCCACCTGGCATCGCCAACTGGCTGTTAAGGGGCCATGTTATTTCTGAGCCTTCTGTAAAACGAGATAGTAATCCCTCCTTTTTTGGCAGGCCTGTTGTGAGGACCAAATAAGATCGTGCAAGTAAAAACCTTTGAAAACAGCAGAATGCTATTTTGATCTTAAGTATTCTCTTAGACTACTATGTCCTTGGAAGGGGGTGGTGGTGCTGGGGAGACCCCAGCTCTGGGCACTGAGAATGAACAGGGGAGTGAAGGGTACACATTTCTCTGGGCAGAAGCTCTAGGACTGAGGCTGTTGAGGGTTCTCTGCTTAGGGACTCTCTCTCCCAAGAACTTTAGGAACTAAGGTGGAGTGAGAGGTAGAAAAGATAAATGGCAGGGATGTTTTGGAAAGAAGAGATGAAGTCTTTTGCAGTTTGAACCCATCTGCAAGTGGTTGGGGTAGGGGGTGGAAACCAGAGGACTGACTGTACGGTTAGGAGTTCAGTATCTTGAAAATCATTCAGGGCAGCACACCCCCAACCTATTTTATGGATTAGGAAGGTGAGGGCCTTGCAGGACACGCTGTCCAGTAGTGAGTGGTGGCCTCTGCTTATTTTCTGTGAAGCAGCAGAGAAGAAAATGACTAGTCAAGGTCAAGAACGGCAGTTCTTGGATCTGAATCCAACTCTGGGGAGGTTAGCCTCTCAGCACCTCATCTCAGTTGTAAAACTAGGTTAGCATCTACCTTATGAAGCTGTGAGATTAAACTAGGTAACTAAAGCTTCTGCTTAACACAAGGCCTTGCATAGTTAGCACTCAATAGATGATATACCTCTTCCTGTCTTCTGGGCCTCATTATCCCTAGTTGAAAATGTTAGATCAATGTTTCTTAGCCAGAGAGCTTGTTTTCCTATTCCTAGTGGAGTGCCTGAGAATCATTTTTTTTTTTTTTTTCAAATTACACACATTTACCAGAGACTTACACTCTACTAAGACAGTGGTTTTCCAGCATTTCATTGCATGACAGGGACCAGGATGGTTTGTCAAAATGCAGATTCCTGGGTCCTAGTGATTAGCTCAGTAAGTGTGGAGTTGGTCCCAGGAACCCAAGGTTTAACATGATCCTGATGCAAATGGTCCATGGAATTGGTGTGGAGGGGAATAACACCCTAAGATTCCCCATTGTTCCTGGAGGGCACTATGGGGGATGACATATCACACTTGTTGGGAACAGGTGGACCATATCATCAGTTTCCTTCTGTGCTGTGATTAGTTGTCTGACTCTTTGCAACCCCATGGACTGTAGCCCACCAAGCTCCTCTGCCTGTGGGGATTCTCCAGGCAAGAATACTCAAGTGGGTTGCCATGACCTCCTCCAGGGGATCTTCTGGACCCAGGGAAGCCCAGCAGACATTTTTGATCCTGAGGGGAATTTCCACCTTCTCACTTCTGCTTCACCAGATCCTGCTCTGGTCTTCAACCTCACCCTTCCAACTTTAAACACTGCCTTAATATTCACTCCCCAAATGTCTTTCCCTCTCTCCTTTACTCCTCCCAGTAATTCCAAGTAGCAGCAACTGTGGTATGCAAGACATTTTCACCTCTTGAGGCCTTGCTAAAGAGGGAAGCCTGTGATTGCCAGGAGGGCTTGAGAGTCAACTGCAGACTTACTCATTGCTTTTCATTCCGAACTGCTTACTTCCAAAGAAAGGAATCTGAATTTTTGTGTGACATTCGTAAAATTTTAACTATCACAAACCCATTTTTTTCCCTAAAATTCTATGGGCCAAATCCCACACGTCTGTAGGAGTAATTCAGAGCATTTCAGTCTCTTCCTTTGCCAAGGAAGGGGTCCCTTTATAAAACACCAAGAGCAAGGCAGTAGCAGACTGTAGCAAAGAACTTTCTACCCCCACCCCCACCCCCTTTCTGCCTAGGCATTTAACTCTAGCTTTTATTTTTAATATTGCATGGTGCCTGCTAAGTGGCTTCAGTCGTGTCTGACTCTGTACAACCTTATGGGCTGTAGCCCACTAGGCTCCTCTGTCCATAGGATTCTCCAAGTAAGGATACTGGAGTGGGTTGCCATGCTCTCCTCCAGGGGAATCTTCCTGAAACAGGGATCAAGCCAGCGTCTTATACCATCTCCTGCATTGGCAGGCAGTTTCTTTATGACTAGTGCACCTGGGGAGCCCCTGTAAGTCGCAGAAAGCTGCTATCCATAGTGAAGAACTCAGTATTTCAGGGGATTTAAGGCTCTTAGTCTGGCTGCCTCAGGATGGGCTAGGGCATTGGTGCTGCAGTTCCCTAACCCCAATTCCTGCTCAATTACTAAACTACTTGGGGCAGCCATGCTTGTGGACCAGATACAGCCTGTTGCGATCTTCCAGAAAAGGAACAAACTGATGAATCTGCAGAGGCAGGGCAGCCTGAGGAAGAAGGCACTGGAAGTGGAGGGAATGGTTAAAGCAAGCAGTCTTTAGAGTACCTAACAGCATTTTCAAACCAGATGGGCTGTTTAGGCCTTGGCTTTGACCACTACAGAGTAGCATCCATCTTCAGCTCTGCAAACAAGGTTAGGTTTGGAAAAAGGTTACCTCTGTGCTGTCTTTGTTTCTATCTAGGTCTAGTACCACCCCATCCTTCAAACTCATAGTTCAGAGAAGCTGATAGCTATGGTGGAGAAAACAGAGAATACATGAAGCCTGGTTTTGACAGGCCAACACACAACTCTTAGGCATCAGGATCGAAGGAGCTAAAACTCAGTATGGCCCAGGCAGAGCTTTGCTAACTGGTCTCTTCCCTAAACTTCTCAGATGTAAATTCTTCCCTCCTTCAGGGAGGTGTCCTTTCCTTCATCTTGGGACTTAAGACTTCTGCCAAAAATGTGTATGTGCACATATGCATGAGCTTGTCCTAGGGGTTCACAACTGCAAACACCTCCCGGCTTGGTGCTGCCCTGGAGGCTGTGCTGACGCCTAGCCTAGGAATCCATGTTTTAAAAAAACATAAAATGGGTTTTCCTGTGTATCTTTTCCAGGAAAAAGATGCTCAAAATCCAAATCACTTTATTGTGTGGCAGTCAGTGCTGCCAGTCTCTGCTTTTCCTGTCACCCCCCACTCATTCAGGATGCCAAGGTCAAAGTCCATTGAGGCCTCCTAATCCTCCCCCCCTTTTCCTCTTTGAGTGCAGAGCTGGGCTTATATAATTTGAGTCTTTTTTTTTTTTTTAATTTGAGTCTTAAGTACTGTATTTGTCTCTTAATTGAAGATGGTGAGGTGCCCTAATAGCAGGGGAGATTTTTACGTAGAAAAAAGGCAGGGATTACAGAGGCTGCATCAAGGTCATGGGGGGTGGAACAGAAAGGGGATGCTGAGGCAAAGGCCTTTGTAGAGCTTTCAGTTTGCAAACTGGTCCAAGAACTTGAGGTAGCCCTGACGCTGGGGTGCTGCTGCTGGAATGAAGTGGCCACCAGAGTGGGTAAGGGTGATGGCTCCATTGAATCGGCTACACAGCTGCACACTCTCCTGAGAGGGGATGACGCCGTCAGTGTCCCCAAAAACATGGAGGGAAGGCAGTGACAAGGGGCCCTTCATGATGGGTTCCATGAGGCCAAGGCCCCGCGGGCAGAAACCAGATACGAGGATGACAAACCGGGGCAAAGGGAAGCGGGGATCGCCGGCTTGGCCAAGGGCACACACAAGAGCTGCTAGTGCGGCCCCCTGGCTGAAACCAAGGATCCCATCGAAAGGCCCCAGCTTGTTCAGTGCCTGTGCCACCGTTCCCAGGGCTTCCTCCAGACCTCTGCACGCCGTGGGGTCTTCCAGGGCCAAGAAAACGTCTGCCTCCTGTTCGGAAAACCACCAGCCTCGAGGCTGCTCCTCCGGAGGGCAGGGTCCTACAGCGATTAAGGGAAGAGTACAGAGTTAAGGCAAGGGGAAATCCAGGGGGAAAGAAATAAAGGGAGTGAGGGAGTGTTTGGGAATGAGGGAAACAGAGGTGGTTGAGGCAGAGTAGAAAGTCTGGGGAAAAGGAGGCGGGGAATAGATTGACCTGGAGAAGAGATGGGTAGAAGTCTGGGAGGATCAGGCAGGAGTTTGAGCAAGGGGCTAGGTTGGCAGAGATGACATATATGGGCAGAATGAAGTGGGAGGATGGCAGGAATGTGGGGAGGAACAAGGGTGCCTGTGTGCAGGCAGGTGTTACGCGGAAGAGGCAATTCAGAAGACTCTGGGCTCATTTCTGGGCAGGGCTCCTCACCGGAGTCTGGCTTGGCGCCCTCCGACCCAGCTGCGTCCATGACCGGGTGCGGGCCGCTGAGGCACACGAGCTCTGCGCGGCCCCGCAGCGCCTTCCGCAGCGCCCCGGTCTTCTCACGGAAGCCCCGCTCGCTCTGCCGAAAACCCGCCAGACACAAAATCCGCAGAAGCGGCTGCCCAGCCATCATGCATGGCGCGTGCGCACCAGAGGAACAGGAAGCAGCCTTTCCCCGGGCGGAAGTTGAACACGAGGGGCGGGACCCAATACAGCCACCACCCTGGAGGCGGGCCTCAGAGCAGGCGGACGTTGCCATGACAACGGGAAGAGGGTGCGGCAGGTCCAGAGGTAGGCCTGATACCTGGGAACCAGGAGCGTCTCAGGGAGCGATCGGCGACACCTCCTCGTCTCTGCAGCTGCAAAGCTCGCAAGCCGCGGCTGGAGAGGGGCGCACGGGCCACCCCTGAACCTGGAGTTGCAGACTTAGGTCACGGTCCGGCTTCTGCGACGTTCCCCACCCCGCTGTCGTGCATTTCCCTTAGCGGCCGCAGGGCGGCGGCCTCGGCTCGCGCCGCCTGGGAGGCCGCGCCCAGGCCCCTCGGTATTCCTTGGTGTCCCTTCCTACCTTCCCCAGGGCCGGCCGGCCTGGGACCTGGAGCAGCCGATCCCGCCCGTGGTTCACCGTCCACGGCCCCAAGGAGCTGCTGGCGTAGAAGTCCATAGGGTAGGGCTGCTGCCAGGAAATGTCCCTCAAGGCCACTGCCGCCTGGGGGAGAAAATCCGGACAGTAACATTTGCCAACATTTTTCTACGCAGGATTATTTAATTCAGTCCTCACGATGACCTACGAAGGTCCTATTATACCCATAGCATAGAAAGGAAATGTGAGGTTCAGAGAGCGGAAGGGACTTGGACAAGGCCACACAGCTAGGAAGTGCCTCCGATGTAAGTTAAGTGCAGCTCCACTGAGGACCCCTTCTAGGACAGAGCTAAGGGTAAAGCCCATTTTCCCCCAGGGATTTTCAGAACCTAGTGTTACCTCATAGGGCGTGAGCAGCGGCTTGTGGAAGGCTGTACCCCAGTCAATGGACAGGCGTGGACATGCCACCTGCACCCACCTATAAGAAGGGAAATCAGGTCAGATCCAAAGGCGGGGGAAGGGGAGGGGCTCTCTGTTCCTGGCAGCATGCTGAAGAACATGACTGTGTCCCCAGCACACTCAACAGAGCTTACTATTAATTCGAAAGTAAAGACTGTCACCAACTGCTGTTTAGCACTACGGTATTGTTTTCTTCTGTTTCCTCCACTGTGAGCTTTTTTTTGGTTTTTATCGAATTTGTTATAATATTGCATATCATATGTGGAATCTTAGCTCCCCAACTAGGGAACTGAAACCTGCAGCCCCCCACACTGGAAGGTGAAGTCTCAACCACTGGACCACCAGGACGTCCCTGACTATGAACTTTCTGAAGAGAGGGCTTGGGCAGCATGTTCGCGATCAGACCCTAGGATGAAATTTACTTCCTGGTCCAATGCAGGTGCCAACCACCCCTCAAACTCATCTCATGCAGAATGACTATGAAATAGCTGTTGCCTGTGAGCCCCCAAGCCAGACAAAGTTGGGTTGACCCATAGCCAAAGGTAGCCCCCACGAAATGAGTGCTCTCTAAACATTAAAATTTCATGGTCATGGAAGCACTGACTCCAGCCTGCAATAGGAGCTGGGCAGAATCCAGATTCTAAGCTTCCTTAGCCAGTCATCTCTAGATAGATTAAGGTGGGGAAACGTACACATCCACCTCGGGAAGGAGGCTGAGCTTGCTGGGGAAGATCTCGGAGAGCAGCAGCCTCACGAAGGGAAGTCCCAAGGCTTGGAGCCGAGATTCCAGGTGCTGTTGGGAAAAGGAGGCAGAGCTGGGGTGATCAAGTGGCCAAAGTAAATCCCTTGGCCTCCTGATTTTCTCAGCCGGGTCCCCAGCTAGTCCTCTTTCCCAGAGCCCACTGACCTCCAGAATCTTGGGACTGCCTTGGCGGCCCAAAGTGCCCAGGATGAGACCCCAGGATTTAGCTGAGCGGGCAGTGGCTATGGCCTCCTGGCGGTTGGCCTGCATGCGCTGGTGGTCATAGTGCTCTCTGGACAGGACCTTGCTGTAAGGGTCGTATCTGGAAAAGAAGCTGTCAGGGTCACTGGGACAGCCACTCACAGGACTTGTGCCATATACACAGTTCCCTCATGCAGCCCCTTGGTCTTCGGAACCCTCAGGCTCCATGCAGGCACTTAGGAACAGAGGCAAGAGCAGAGACTGCTGCTGGAAGATTGGTTCCACGGCTGGAGCAGGCACGAGAGAGGGTTCTAGGATCTGGGTGTGGATCCAATGGATGGGGAGGTGCTGTGTAGCAGCAACCCTACATCTGGTACCTAGATTCAGATCCTCAGGGCTGGGGGCTTTTAAGTGGCCCTGGGGTGAGGAGGTTTGGGCCTGACTGAGGGTCTCAGGGGCAGGGGACTCCATCCCCTTCCCAGCTGGTTAGCCCAGTCCGGCCAATACCGGTAAGCGGAGATATTGGGGTTGGCGATCATGACAGACTCCAGGTGGAAGCGGCCATCTCCAAGATACCTGCAGTGGGGAGAAAGGGGGCCATGAGGGTGGGATGGGGCACCAGAAGCAGGCAGCAGCTTGGAGGTCCAGAGGACTGAGTTCTTGGCTGGCTACACTGCAGTGTATGTGAACTGGGACAAGTCATCCTTTAAAACCCCTCCTCCCACACGCAAGGCCCTGGATGTCTCACATGTAAAATAGGAGTTTGAACTGGAGGACCATTAAGGCCCCTCTAGTTAGGTAATGCAGAATCTAAGAACTGCCCCTATCCCCACCTGAACCTTCTAGGGGAAAATGAAGGAGCCAGCCAGGGTCATGGGAAGGCTCTAGAGAGCCTAACGTGGAGATGGGAGGACAGATTGTCCCTCACCTAGCTCAGTACGGATGTGGGAAGTGGTGTTCAGGGTGTCATCTGGGCCATAAATGAGCTTTCAGGGTGTATATATAGTTTGACTACTCTTTGCTCAAACTAGCTCTTGGGTCCAGTTACTGAACTGTAATAAGAGCCACTGTTTACTGGGCTTATACCTTCCATGTACCAGGCCTGGGCTAAACACCTGACATGTATGACTTTACTCAGTCCTAACAGGTAATCCTCCAAGCTACCCATTTCACAAAATCCCCATTTCACAAAAGATACTAGTGAGGTTCAAGGATGTAGAGAAATCTGAATCCCCATTTCACAAAAGATACAAATGAGGTTCAGAGATGTTAAGAAACTTGCCCAAAGTCACACAGCTCTCTTAAGCAGTATACCTGGGACTTGATTCTAGGCTTAAACACCAGGCTGTATCAAGCAGGGCTAGGAGATACTGTCCTTAACTGCACCTTCCCAGATCATGGAGAGGCCACAGCATGGAAGACAGTCCACGTGGCAGCTCCTTCTCTCTTGGGAGACCACATCGAATTGTGATGAATGGCCAACAAACACTTGGGGTGTTCCTCCCTCCAACAGACACCCAAAGCCCCCAGGGGCAGGCATGTATGAGCTCAGAATTATGTATGCCCAGGCAAGAGGGAATGCCCATCAGGGAGCAGGGCTGCCAGGGAAAGGGAAGGCCCTGATGTGGGCCTCTCTGGGTGCAGGGATGTCCTGTGTGGGTGCAGCAAAGCTTGTGGGAGCAGCATCAGCAGCCCCGGAAGTGGGACTGAGTCAGGGGAATGCCCCCCCTTCCCTGCCATTAGCTGAGAATGGGGCTCCCCTCCCCAGTCTTAGCGGGCGGAGCTGTCGGCTCCGAGGCTGCCTGCATTCACACAACATTAAGCATTTCCATTACCTAAAATAATTAGGCGGCAGGAGACACGCTGCTCCTGCTTGTTAGCTGTCCAGATGCTAAATTAATGGGGCTGCAGCCTGGGCGTGCCCATCCATCTTCTCCAATTACATTCCCACCATTTTGAGCCCCACCCTTGTCCTCCGCCCCCCAGCCCCGCATCAGGCCCTCATTCCTGCCCCACCCTGGGGATAGTCTTCCGGATGTTGGCCAGAGCACTGGAGAGGGAGTCAGGGAACCTAAAACTCTCTTTCGTCCCCATCTTGCAGGGTGACCTTGAGGAGTCTGAGACTCAGTTTCCTTTCCTGGATGATGAACTTCAGCGTTCAGAGGAACCTAGGGAACTTATCCTATGTCTCTATGACTGGCCCCCCATTTTCCACTTACACCACAGCCTCCACCTCCTTGGGTAGGCAGGGGGACGTGCAGCCCAGAATCTCCCCAGGGGACAGGGGCTTGCACTGTGGGACACTCACACGATACTCAGCTTTCAGCTCTTGGGCAGCTGCCTGTAGGGAGAATGAGGGAAGGGAAGCAAGTGGACGGGGAGGGAGAGCCAGGCCCAGAGGACCAGCCTGGAGCACCCGACGTGCGGACCCAGGAGGAGCCCGGAGACCAGCCCACTTACCTGCAAGGTTGACACGAACTGAATGGTGCTGACCAGCGCAAGGGCACTGCCTGGGGGAAAGGTGAGTCGGACAGAGTCCAAAAGGTGGGCAGTGTCTATCCGGATGTCCACAAAGACGTACAGCACCCGGAAGTCTTGGGCTGAGGTGTCCATGGGAACTGGGAGGAGGGAAGAGTTCAGGAGACTCTTTTGGAGGGCAAGAGGGGCAGAGGACAAGCAGCTTCAGCCTAAGGACAAACAGGGGGTTCGGGGAGGTAGGGAGGGTAGTGTCACGGTTCTTTTATAAGCTCCATCTCTGCCACTCGACTAGGGGGTCCAGCCTGCTCTGCCACCAACAGCCTTTCAAACACCCATAACTGGGACAGCAGCATGGTTTCCAAGGCAACCAAGTCCAAAGGCAAGCTCCACCCATGGAGCAGGAAGGCCAAGGCCATCCCAGATACCAGGAGGGACCCGGTGCGTGCCAGCAGATCAGGCACTGCAATGGAGATAAGCGTGCAGTTCTGCCCCCCAGCCGGGTCTGGGTGTCCTGGCGGCCGTACCCAGGCAGCTGTGGCCGTAGTGCACCAGGAAGTCAGCTCCCAGGGCTCTCGCAGTGAAGTCGTCCACACAGCAAGCCCCGTAGGTCACGTCGCCCATCACCATCACTTCGGCCTCTGTGAACCTGTGGGGGTGGAAATGATGGGACAGTGACACAAGGAGTGAGGTGGCAGAGAGACCTGAATGTGGTATATCTCAGGGCCCAGCTCTGCTCTCCCTGCCTCTCCCAATCCCTTGGGTTGGCAACTGCCACTTCTGCCAACAGAGTAGGAGGGGCCCAGCTGCTACCTCCCCCAGGTCTGGCAGCAGCTCCTGGAACTCTAGCTGTATGCGGATGGACTCTCCAGCACCCTGGTTCCTCTGCCCGGACTCCGACTGCAAGAAGGACCCCCCCAGGCCTCAGCCTGGCATACCCAAGGGTCAACCACAGACCTCTGCTGCCCTGACTCATCCCACCCAGAGCCAGGTGCATGCACATACAGGCAAAGACACCCATTTCCACACACTGGCACTGTGACACGTGCTGGATGCACGTCACCGCCCAGCCGCCCAGAACCCCTGCTGCCTCCCCACCCTTAGTCAAGGCCCTCTGTGCCAGGATGGGGGAACCCACGAACAGCTCCCCCACAGCACATGGCGCCACCCACATGCCTCATGCGTCAGGAAGAGTGGGCTATGGCCAGCGCACTGCCATGGGATCTGCTGCCAGGCCTGAATCACTGGGGGATGGGGGCGAGTAGGGAAGACCCCACACCCCCTAAACTCACCACAGGAATGGGGTCAGAGGCCCAGCTCTTCCCTGAGACCCACCCCTGGGGCATGGAGTCTGGCTCAGGGACGGGGAGGTGGGGGGGAGGCTCTCCCTGTTCTTCTCCTGGGGGTGTGGTGGGGAACGCTGAGCTGCTGCCAGGCACCACTAGCGCCCCCACCGCCCCTTTCCCCAAATCAGGCTGTGCACAGAAGCAAATTATTCAGCTCCTTAGAATGCAGCCCAGGCGTCTGAGTCAGCCAGAGCACTTAATTTTTTATAGATTAAAATGTATGCAAATTGGCCCAAGCCCCAGAGAGCATCCCCAAGGGGCAAGAGGGTGGGAGCAGGGAAGTGAGTCTGTGGCTGCAGGATGCGAAGCAGGGTGGGGGGAGGGCGGCAGCAGGGAAGTGGGAGGTTCCCATCACGAGATGACCTCCCCTTTCTTCTTTTGCCTTCCCTGTTCCTGTACTAGTTCCAGATGGCTGAGCACTCACCCCCCTCCTAAGGATGGCTCATTGTATTGAAGAAACTTAGACGAGGGAGGTGGAGGAACTGAACACCATCTCCTAGGCGCTACTCCTGCTGCCAAGCCCCTCCTTGCCCCGCTCCTCCAAATGTGCCAGAGAAAAAGTCTCCCCCCATAGCCAGACCCCACGCTGACCACCCAGCCCATTCCAGGGTCAACCCTGGGGGCTCTCAGCTTCTTCCTCAGGCCCCACCATCTGCTCTGGGCCCAGCTTTGAGGACAATAAAATCGACTCATTTCTCCCTCCCAATTTCTTTTTTTTAGGGAAGGGGAAATTTATAGAGACAAGGAGGGATTGTAGCAGGCTAGGAGTTTAGATTGGGGTTTTTCCCTTGGTGTGCATATGGTTGCGGGAAGGAACACAGTAAGGCAGAGGTCCAGAATGGGAAAAAAATGATGCCAATGGCCAGAGCCATAATGGACACGGGGAAGGTCTCGGTTCAGCTTCCACGGTGCCCCAAGGCTCACCTTTCCAAGATATCCACAATGGTACAGGCGAAGAGGAGGAGGCCTTCGGGCATTTGTAAGGCCACTGCAAGATAGAGCAGAGACATGCGAGCAGACAGCTGGGAAAAGACTGGGATGGGGACACCCCCCCTGGCTGGATCAGACAATCTCTCCAACCGCACTCCAGCTCAGAGCTTAGGGGGGCTCACCCTTCTTGGCCTGGGCCTGTTGGATCCTCCAGATGGTCTTGGGAATCTCAAAGTTATAGTTGGAAGGCAGGACTTGGATGGCTGCCTGCAGCTGGGGATTGTTCAGGATCTCAGCCGGGATCTGATTGGCCAAGCGGCCCCGAGGGGCTCGACCTAGGATAAATGTGAGAGGCCTGAGTTGGTGCCTGGCTTAAATCACAGCCAGACATGATGGAGCTGTTAATGCCACCCAACTTTTAAGGCCCAGATCCCAGAAGTCAAGGGGATTGGCCCAGCCTTCTTCCCCACTGAGTTCATCCTGAAGCTGGAGACACGACCCAATAAGCAAGGAGGAAATGTGTGTAACTGATTTCCATGTTATGAGATTATTGGGAATCAAGGACTTGAAGGTGTGGCTCACTCACCCTGAGAGTAGAGCTGGCACCAGGTGACACATCTGAGGGGCAAATGGGAAAAACATCCACACAATTGTTCCTTGATAGAGAACAATCCTGAGACAGCCCAAGAGCCCAGCCAGCTCAATCAGTCTGAGAAAACATCCCTCTGCTCCCAGCCCCTGAGAAATCCTTGAAGTTCTGAGATCCAGATATGCAATCTGGAAACAAACTGTTACAAGTACTAATTTAAAAGACTTCCTTCCTTACTGAGTCCCACTGACTTATGTCTACACTGGTTAATTCTTGCTTCTTCCCCCTCCTCATTCAAAAGGTAAATAAACACCATACATTTAACTGCCTTAAGTTCCCTAGTTCCATCATTCTACCCCACTTCCCACTCCTGGAAGGCTGGAAAGAACACACTCCATTCAGAACTGTGGGCAAACAGGTGAGGACAGAAAAGTGATCTTGCCCTTCAAGGGCTTGTAGTCTAGAGGGCGAATTGCAGGGACACAAATAATTACAACCCCCCACCCCCAAGATTAAAGGAGAAGAAACACTGTAGTCCTTTAGGAAGGCTGCAGCCCTTACTGGCATCCTACTCCCCACAACTCAGTTTAGCCCAACCTGGGCATCTCTTTAGGCACCAGACAGTTCAAGAGTGTGAAAAGGCGAGAAATGGACTCATTCAGCGAATATTTATTGAGCCTGTACTATTTGCCAGAACTTCTACCAGAGATCCTGCTAGACTGACACAACAGCCTCTGTGTGTGGGTACGCGCTTGGGGCAGCAGTAGACACAGGGGTGGTGATGGTGACGGTGCAGTGGAGTAGTAGAATGGCAGGCTGGGACCCTAAGTCCCGATCTGCTATGGTACTTGTTTAGTTGTTTCAAAGGCCTCGGAACACCAGTCAGGTCTCTGGGCCGGCCCTCACAGAAGCTCCTCTGCCAGGCCCAAGTCCCTAGTGGTTGCAGGGGTGTGGGAGCTGCTAGTCCTAGCAGCTCAATTTGTCCCAAAGGCCAGTTGGTTCCTCCTTCTTTACCATTTAGCTGTAACCTCTGTTTACGTCCGTATTCCCCGGTAGACGGTGAGATCCCTAAGGGCAGGGCTGCAATCTAGTCCCAGCACCTAGCACAGGCCTGGCATTCAGGGCGCGCTCCATAAGTGCCGGGTCAATGAAACCTTGTGCCTCTTACGTAAAGTATTCCCTGAAGGCAGACTTGAGGAATGCCCCGTCCAACACGCCTGGCTCCTTCCCTCCCCGTCGGGTCCGTCTCATCGTTTAGTCTTCATGAGTCTGTCTGCCCTCCAAGGAAGGGAGGCAGCGTTTCCGGCTTGAGAACTACAAGCTTCTAGGAGGGGCTGCTCCCGATGGTGCCCTAAGGTCGCTTAAGAAAGACCGGTCCCCCTGGACTCCAGCGACAGTGACTCGGAGCGAGTGACTACGAGACCTTCCGGATCTGGCGGAGAACGGCATCGCCGCCGTTTAAGTGGGCTAGTCGTGTCCCTGACTCAGGGGCCCTACCCCGAGATGCGAGGTCCGGAGGCCGCAGCGTCGTAGCACCCACCTCTGCCCGGGCCGTTTCGGCTACAAGACTCTGCGGCCTCGGCCGCCACCAGCGCCGCCATCGCCAGCGGACCCACGTTGGGACCAAAAAGACAGCGCTAGAAGAACTCAGAGAGCGCAGACAGTGCAATCGATCGCCGATCGGCCAGCGAGGGGCGGAGATTTGCTGGGCGGGGACCGTGAAGGAGAAAGATAGGGGCGGGGCCAGAGTGGGCCGCCTGTCTCAGCCCGGAAGGTCGGGACTCTCGGGAGCCCCTAGTGGTCCTCGACCACGGCGGTTGCGTTCTCCCGGCGACCCTGTCGCCTCCTCCCCTTGCGAGTAGCCTGATCCTGGCTCTCCTGGACAAGTGCCCTCCTATTTGCAGACTCCCTGCCCTAGTTCGGGGGGCGCAGTCTTGTAAATGGAAACACCGCTGGGTCTTCCTTCAGCTCCCCTATCTCCCCTCCTGATCAGTCCTGGACACCCATGGGCGGGGCCGCATTCCCTGCCTCACAGGACCCCATTGTCCCGACAGGACAGAACTGCGCCCACTGAGCCAGCGTCAAGTTGAGTCTTGATGCCGATTTCCGGAGCGCTGGGATGCCCTTACACCTCTAGAACCCACAGTGTGGAAGGTTCACTGTGAAACACTGCTACCAGGGGAAGGACCCCAGCCTGAGGATGCTTTCCTGGGAGAAAAGGGAAGTCCAAGGACTCGACTGCCTAAACCTTCGGGATTCTGGTCAACGTTTACCCTGCCTTGGCTGCCCCTCCGGCCTAGGTAGCCGGCCTATAAGCTCCTGGAATCCCAAAGAGAAGGCAAAGTGGCCAGTGGGACAGCCTTGACCTTTAGAAGAGCAGGCTGCCTGCAGGACTGGCTTTCAGCAAGGTCTGCCCCACGGAGCAGTCACCCCTCAGGGCCGTTTGCCCACCCAGCCCTCTGGCACCATCTTCCTTTCTGCTCTGTGTGAACACAGCTGGCCCTTTAAGGCAGCTCTGTGGCCTCGGGCTCCCCTGGAGGCCCTCCCTGCTTGGAAACTCCTAATTAAGGCGCAGGGAGAAGTGAAAAACAAGCAGCCAGGGACAGGCCCTGCCTGGGAGACTGCCCATAGAGGAGGGCTGGCTGGGCAGGCTGGGAATGAGCAGCCGAGGGGCAGACCAGAAAGGGTCAGTGCTCTGCCCCTCAGACCCCCAACGGATGCTCTTAGGATGGTCACAACCTCGGACAGGAATGTGGCCCAAGGAACATCCCATCAGTGTGATGAGAGTCCTGCCTGCGCTTTCTCAATCTCTCAGGTTCTCTGGACCCCCAGTGTGGAGAATCTCAATTCTGGGGTGCGCTTGAGTCCAGCCCCTCCACATTCAGGACACGAAGGCCCAGTCTGGGCAGCCTTAGCTCTGGATGCAGCTGAAAGTCCCAAGAGGGAAAGACCAGCTCCAGTAGACAGGGATGGCGTTTCCCTAGCAGACCCCACACCCCTTAGAACCTTTCCCTCAGCAGAAGTGGGGCCCACTGGTAATAGAAGGCCCCCATCCTCCTACAGCACCACCCCACAGCCTGTGTCCCGGATGAGTTGTGCAGCCCCCATTAGGAAACAAGCCTGTGCCTGAAGACCCTGCTGTGCAGGACATCCGGGCCGTCACTCAACTTAGGCCGAGAACACCTCCATCTGTCCGTGGGGGTCTCCCTGCCAGAGTTACTCAGCAGTCTGAGTAATTACTGCCTGACAAGAAGGCGGGCACAGCGCACCCCCACCTTACAACACCCGCCTACAGTCGCCCCCACCCCCTGGCTGGCCTCCAGAACAGCACCCAGCCCTCCAGAGGCCTGAAATAACTCGGCTTCTCACACTCACGCCCAGCCCCAGCCAACTTTGCCTAAGATACTGGAGATTGCGGGGCAAGGGGTCATGGGGAGGCGGCTTGGGAGGTGGAAGGAGGATTAGCATACCCTGATGCAGGCTCATACTTGAGCACTGATCTGCTGTGAGATGCTTCGCGAGTTGCTCAACCTCCCTGACCTGGGTTTTACTGGCGGAGGGTTTCTGCAGCTCTCAGTGTCCTCAGAGTTCCAGCTAGTGTCTGCCTGGCAGGGCTCAGACAGGATGGCTCAGTCTGGTCCTGCAGCTGGTGGAGGCTGAGAGAATGCCTTACCTGGGGTTTCTATTGCAAGATGGACCAATCTTCTTAAACTTCAGCGCAAGCTTACTTTCTCACCTCCAAGCCATCTACACATTCCTTCCTGCCTGTCCTAGTCTTTCCCCTTCTCAACCTGATGAATTCAGCCCTCAAGACCAATGGCACCTCTTCTGTGAAACCTATTTGGATGGTCTTTCAGCCCCTTACAGAGCTAGCAAAGTCCCCTCCCACACTTTCTCTCTTCCTAGCACATTCTAAGATAGCTTATGGGTCTTCCCCTACAGAAGCTTGCCATAAGCTTCTGAAAGTCCAAGTCTATGTTATTGTTGTTATTGTTCAGTCATTAAGTCACATCTGACTGTTTGCGACCTCATGGACCGCAGAATACCAAGCCTATGTAGTTAGCACAAACCTCGGTGTTGCTGAATGCATGTATAGGTGAATGAATGATACTGGTCTTCTTTTTGAGCTTCCTAACATGTCAAGTTTGTCTCCAAGGTATCACACGACTCTCTCACTTCAGTTAGGTCTCTGCTTAGATGTCACCTGCTCAGAGTGCTTTCCCTGATCCCCTCTTATCAGCTCCAGAACAACACCTGACTTATTTTTTCTTCTTCCAAGCAAGATCTCATCTGGATTTTCCTAAATTGGTCCCTAATAACCGTAAATTTCACAAGGACAGGGACTTTGCCTTTTTAATTGACTGAATCCCGGAAGACTAAAGCTCTGTACTGACAGTCCCTCAATAAATGTGCCTTTAATGGGTGACTTAGGCCACTCTTTTCCCCCGGTTCAGGACCCCTCTTATCTCAGGCCAGTAGGGGGTGCCGGCCTCCACCCGGGACTGGTCTGGCCTTAACCTTCTCTAAGCTCAGCCCAGCTGGTTCCCAGCTGGACCTGCTTTTTAGGCGGTGCCTCCTCCATTTTCCACGAAGCTCCCGGCGGGGTCTGTATAGATTGAGGGACAACAGAGTCCCCCCCAAGCAGAGATAGCCTGGCTGAGCCCCACATCGGTCTTCCCTCGCTAGGATATGCAGCTGGGCCTCCCCAGTGCTTGTTGCCAGGTCTAGACTAGCCAGGGGGCACATCGCACTCGCCCCCCCCCCCAAAAAAAAAGAACAGTGTCCTAGGACTCGGGATGCGATGCGGCTGGGTTTGCCGGAGCTGTCCTGGGCAAGGAGGAGCCGTCGAGCCTCCGAGGAAGAAGCGGAGTCGGCCAAGGAGGAGATGGGCGGGGGTGCGGACTTGTAATCGGGGACTCTGGGCGGCGGTCCTCGCATCCCAGCCGGTGGGCAGAGCGCACGCTGCCAGCCGCCTGTTTCGGTGACCTCCATCCGCGAAGGGCGCTCGCCCGGAGGGGGTGGGGCTGCGGGTGCGAGCTTCGGGAAGCCCGCGAAGCCCAGGAGGGGCTCTCGAGTGGCCCGACGACCGGCCCGGGGACTGGGGCAGGTACTTGGACCGACGCGGGCCGAGGATCGTCCCCGGGGGCGGGCGCGGCGAAAACACCTTGGGAGGCGGCGCCGCGCGGCTGAGCTCCGCTGCCCTGGGAATAGGACGGCGCTTGGCACTGCGAGCTGAGAGCACTTTCATAAATTTTGTATGGGAGGCGCTCCGTGAGCGGGGGCGGGGAGCGCAGAGAGAGAGGGAGGGAGCTAGCGAGCGGGGGAGGGAGGGAAGGAGGAGAGGTGGGGGAAGCCGAGGGGAGGAAGGGAGGCGCCCCGCTCCGCCGATCGCACGGTCCTGCAAACGCGCGCCGGGCGCTTTCCCCGGAGCTCCGCGGTGCGTGCGAGCGCCCTTTTGCAGCAGCCGCGGCGGCGGCGGCGACCCGAGGGGGCGGAGAGTAGGGGGCCGCGGCCGGGGGACCAGGGGGCGGCGTCCCCCCTCAAAACCGCCTGCAAAGTGCTCGGGGTTGCAGAAGCAGGCCGCCGGATCAGCGGAGAAAGCAGCTCGCCCCAGGGGCTGCCGGGCACAGCCGCGGTTGCCGGTGGGCGCCGGTGCCCTCGGCGCGGGGCTCGGGCTCACCATGCCCCTGCGGGGCCGGGCCGCCGGGCACCAGCGGATCCCCGGCTTGCCCCCGCCTCGAAGCGCGCGGATTAGCTGCAGCCGGCGCCCGAGGATTTGAATCCGGACCCCGGGAGGGAGAGAGCCTAGGCCGACCTCGGAGTGGCGGCCCCGCGGCCAACATGCTTCGCAAAGGTGAGTTGGAGCCGCAGGGGCAAGTTGGAGTTGGATGCGCACGGGGCAGAGCCGCGAGCCTGGGAGCCGCCCGAGAGCCGCCCAGCGCTGGGGCTCCCGGTCTGGGAAGCAGCTCTGGGAAGGCTAGAGGGCTTCGCGGGACTCACCCGCGGAGGGAGTGCTGCTGGGGGAGCTCGGCCCCCGACGGGGGCTAGTATCGAGACTCGGGATCTGCTCCCTGAATCCAGCGGCCAGGCCTAGAGATCTGGTTCGGCGAGGTCATTTGGAGACCACAGTGAACTACCTGTGATGGAAGGGGAGCCGGCCTCCTGGGACCTTAGCTTTGCCGGTATAAAGTTTTTCACTTGCAGCCTCCATCCCCCTCGCGGACCCACGCCGCCAGCTTCCGCCGCTTAGGCGGGGCCGGGGCCGGTTCCGACCCGCGCTCCAGTGCAGCCGGCGGTCAGGCGCCGCGCAGCCTGGGCGCTCACTCACCGCGCGTCCCGGCTTCCCAGGTGGGGCCCGGATGCGGGCACCTTCCCTGCACCACGCTTTGGTGGTCCCCAGGGATGGGCTCTGAGCATCCAGCGGCCGAGGGTTGGTGTCTAGCGCCCGAGGTCCGGTTCCTCAAACTTTCCTTCTGCCTGGAGCGGAGGGATTGGAAGGTGGAGGCCGTGCCAGGAGAGTGCGCTGCCGATGCCAGGCTTAACTTGAGGACACTCACCATGACCCTCGGGCCGCCGGGCTCCTAGCCGAGCGCTGCAAAGTTGGCGCGGGCGCTGGGGAAGTCCCGCCGCGCCCCCACGTG